GAATACACCTCGAAATTTGTCAAACTTCCATATTTATATATCTATATATGTATATAAGAGCCTTCTTTCATAGCACTTGATGATATCCAACGTTTTTACATATATTATTATTTAAATACGGGTTTTAAATATATATGAATGGCAATTCCAGGGCAATATTGTGGGATAATTCTGCCCTCTTGTGGCCATATCTGTGTATTACAACGACACACAGCTACACCAAACCAACCGCCAGAAAGGGGAAAACAGTAGCAGCACAAAAATCTATCCAAAAAAGTGAGCTGCAGGGCAAAAGCCAAAGCCCAATCAGTGCCTTGCCAATAAGTGCCTTTCAACTCACTGGGGCAGGGGACAGAGAGGGAACAATAATTGAGTCACTTAGAGGCTTTCTCAAATAGGGACACTGCAGGTCAGCCCCACTTTAAGAAAGGTGATGAACTGAGATCTGAATGTACAGAATGAATCGTGTTTTGAGGGGACGATTCACAGCATGAAAGGATTCTCCTGTTTGCCGCAGGATTCACTTGTGCATTTTAATCTGATTTATAAATATATATGTATGGTAACTATATATTCAACATATATATACCCATAAGTTCACATACCCATAAGAAAAACAGAATTAAAAGATAATACAAATCTTCCTATGAACTTTTTGAAGGCCCCTCGCATATATTGAATATATATAGAGAATTTATGCCGAAATTTAGGATCATAACACAACCATAAGAGTAACATTTTTATGACATCAAAAACGGAGAAAGACTTAATAATCCTGGGCCAAAAGAGCACATGCACTTCTGTTTGGTAATAAGTGCAGTAATAATAACAGCTGGAATGGATGGAGTATTGTTTTAAGTGCTTTTCATGGATTTCCTTTTAATGTCACAAAGATCACATAAAGTGGGTACTTTTATCGTCACCATTTACAGACTAGGACAATAAAACTCAGAGACATTAGACCACTTGCCTAAAGTCACACAGCAAGTAAGCAGTGGAGCCAGGGTTTGAACCCAGGTAGTCTCACTTGGGTGCTTTTTCCATACTGCCATTTCCATAACAGAAAGGGGACCTCTGGTGGACACAAACACAAACTGCAGACAGAGAACTGGAACCCCAGCTCCACCCCCACTCCCTGGCTGGTGACCTTGAACTCAAGATTCTCATAGGTCAAGGTAAGAGCCAAAACTCAGGTTCCTGCAGGCCAAGTAAATATAAATGAGCAAAGTGGTGAACCAAAGGGCACGGGCACATGAGGAACCCAAAGAGACAGCAGATCCATTTCATTGCTGCCAGACAGGAATTCAGTACAGTGTGGTCAGCAATTCTAATTTTTCAAGTGAAAAACGAAAAGCCAGAGATCTGAGATTTTTAGGCAAACTCTTTCAGTTTTTTAAATATTGGCTCAAAATACATTTTTGAGTATTGTATCAGCCAAAGAAAAAATGTCTGCTTATCAGATACACCTTGAGGGCCACCAGTTTTCAACCCCTGGTCTAGAAGACTTGTTTCTGCCTCACCTGCTCCATAGGTGGTGCTTAATAAATAAATGATCCCAAAAGCCTCTGAAAAGTGTGCCAGGCCATGCAAATATACTGTCTGTATGTATACAGGACCTTTCATCCTAAAGGTATACACAAGAAACCCTGTCTTGGCCCCCTGGCCATGCTGGGAATGAAATAAGGGCATACAGAATAGTGCGCCATCTTGTGTGCATATGTGAGATGGGGTGGGGATGGGGGGATGGAGGAATGTGGGGGTGCTGCATTAGCTCAGGATTGTTAGATCCGGTGGGATCAGGTGAGATTCTTGTCCTTGGGGACAAGATCTAAAAAAGAGAGAGGCTCTTCAAGCAGGAAGCGAGAGTACCTAGAGAAAGGGCTCTTGGACCCAAGGCATTGGGGTGGGGGCACACCCTCTTCTGCCCAGCTCGGGGAGGCCCCAGCAACAAGAAAGTGAGGAGAAAGCAGAGTGCCTCCCACCTGACGCTCCAGAGTCCATCTAACCTGGCTTCTCCTGCTAGCCCCACCCACCACTAGCTGGACCAGACACTTCATCCCTGAGCCTCGATTTCTCACTCTGTATAATGGGGGTAACAGGCATACCTACCCAAAATGGTGTTGTGAGAAGTCTGAACAGTCTCAACAGTTGAGGTCCTTCCTGCAAAGCCCTTAGTACAATGCCTGGCATCAAAGATTCAGTCATATGAGCTGGTTTTATTAGGAATAGCTCAGCCCCATCACAGGAAACAGTGGGTTCCTGGGATCTCAGAGGGTAGGGAAATCTCACTATCCATGTGACCTTAAGGATGTGGACACAAGACATCAGGGCTCCAGCTTAGTTTTGCTATTGGAAAACCTGTAACTTTCAAAATTTTCAACAGCAGCAGCAATAACAACAACTATATGCTAACATTTACTGAGTGCTATTTGGTGCCAGACTATAAGAATCACCTGAACATTTTATAAGAATCACCTCATCTTATGCCAGCTACTCAAGAAGAGGGGGCAATCATTATCCCCATTTAACAGATGAGAAGACTAAGGCTCTAAGGCTATGCTCTACAATACGGCAGCCACCAGCCACATTAATTAACATGAAATACAAATAACAATTCAGTTCCTCAGTTACACACACTAACAACAATTCAGGTGCCCAGTAGCCACAAGTGGCTGGTGGCTATCACATCAGAAAGCACAGATATAAAATACTTCCATCATAGCAGAAATTTCCATTGGACAGTGCTGTTCTAACAGGTAAAGTGATTTGATCAAAGTGACTCCATTTATAAGTGGCAGAGCTGAAAGAGGTCTAACTGACTCCAGAACCACACTCTAATGATGTCATTTGGACAGCATCAGAGATCCTGCATGCCTTCATCCAATACAGATTTATGGAGGGCCTACTATGTGCCAGGGACTCTGCTGGGCACAGCCAAAAACCTGCTGCCCAAGGAGCAGCAGAGGGGGTGACCACTGGCAGGTAAGGGGCAGGGGTAACAAGGTGCCTCAGGTCACCTCCAGGACTTCCTTGCGCACGTCGACAATCCGGAACCAGTGCCGGACCTGGGGGAAGCCATCCAGCTCTGCGTTGCGTTCCTGCAGGGCCACCTTCTTTTTGCAGGACAGCTGCCGGCTGAAGTATTTCACCAGCTTGCTCTGAGGAGACACAGACAAGGACATGGGACACATCTCAGAGACACTGTCAAAAGGTGAGAGCAAGAATCCCTACGACCTACCCTCCCACCCAAACCCCATCCAACTTTGTATTTCAAAGACTGGTTCGACTACATTGAGATTCAGTTTTCCACCCATCTCCACACTAAAAGAGAGGTGCACCATCCTGGTGAAGATCGGCAATCAGGCGGGCCCCAACATTTTTTGGGGGGGACATGCATTGGGACCACTTTAGTGGAGGGCTTTTTGGCTGTATCCATGTACATTTCAATTACACGTAGTCTTTGACCCAACGATTCACTTCTAGGAACTCATCCTGCAGACACCCATCCTATGCAAAATGACTGTGTACAAGGTTATTTTGTTACAGTTCTGTTTGCAGTGGCAAAAGATTGCAAACACCCCGACGCTCCATCAGTAGAAAACTCATTACATAAATGGCACAACAGCCACACAAAGGAACCCTATGCAGCTATAAATAAAATGATGAAGTACGCTGTGTGCTGATACAGAACAGTCTCCACGATACATGCTGATAAATAAAAATAAATGCTCTCCCATTCACGGGGGAAATGTTTCCATGTGTATACCTTTGCAAATGCAAAGACTCTTTCTGAAAGAATTCCCAGTCCTCTAGGGAAGGCAAGTGGGTGGGTGGGGAATGGAGGGGGGAGAAATATTTTTAAACCTTTTTCTACTGTTTGTCCTATTGCAAGTACTCACATATTAACAAATACTTTTAGAATAAGGTGGACCTAAATCGGTGCTTCTGGGGGAAGAACCATGACATGAAACAGGATGGTTTTTTATTGATAGTTTTATAAACACTAACAACATTCACAAAAGAAAGGCAATACATGTGTCCCCAAGCAGAGAGAAAAATAGGGACAAATAAACCCCAGACTTCTAACTTGGGACAGGGAGACTCTATAGAGGAGGGGAGAAAAAAAATGTTTTGCATTGTTTCAATAGTTACCCAGAGTATATTATCATCTTTGTAATTTAAAATACACTTAATGAAGATAATTAAATGAAACAAAATTTAAATCCTTAGGTATGTAGATGCCTGTAGCATTTCCAAGTACAGTCAACCATCATTCATCAAGAACACCGTCTTGGGATTCTAGCATCACAAAATTCAGAGCCAGAGAGGACTATAGTGGGCTTATGTTGCTTCTGCCTACCTGGTCTCCATTCCCTCTTTTCCTGAAAAGAACATTTTAACTTTCTTTTGGGGAAAAGAAAGTTCTTTGGCTTTCAGTCCATATGGCTCACATGAGGCTGGTCACTCCCTGGCTGCAGGACGGACACATGACCCAGGCATGACCACACCTGCCATCTGAGGCCCTGAATTGAGCACGGAGACCAGATACCCCTGGACTCTGCAGTGATATCATCAGCCAATAAGTTCCTCTTCAGTAGTATTGGGGTTTTGTTTGTTTGTTTGTTTTTTGCTTAAGCTGGAGCGAGTTGGGTTTCTGTAGCTAAAGCATCCTGACTCACAGCGAAATTAAAGGACATCTAGTCCACTGTCCTTGAGGGAGTCTTCACATCCCTGGTGTGTTGGTCTCCTATGGCTGCTGGAACAAATGATCACAAACTTGGTGGCTTAAAACTCAAATTTTTTATCTGGCAGTTCTGGAGATCAAAAGTCCAAAGTCAGTCTCCCTGAGCTAAAATCGCGATGTCAGCAGGGCTGGTTTGTTCTGGAGGCTCTAGGGGAGAATGTTTTCTTGCTTTTTTAGCTTTTAGAAGCTGCATGCATTCCTTGGCTCCTGGCACCTCCCCATATAACTAACTTCTTGCTTCCACTGTCCCATCTCCTACTGACTCTGATCTACTGCCTCCCAGATAAACTGCTCCTAAAATTTTAACCCACCTAAACTGTCAGATAAGAAATATTTGTTGTTTTAGGATGCTGAGTTTCAGGGCGATTTGTTAAAACAGCAATAAATAACTAATACAAAGGATCAAATCCCATTCAAACTTATAATGAGAAAAAAGAGCAGAATAATATTCCTACAGACAATGAAAGCACACTAGAAAAGTACATTTGCAAAGCAGAACAAAACCGTAAACTACTATTGCAAAACTCTGCAAAAGACATTAAGAAGATGATACGAGATCTGAAAAAACAAATCAGAATCAGAAAATCACAAAAATGAAGTATCAGAACTCAGGAAAGGATTACAAATAAAAGGAAAAGTGTATTCATTAAGATACCCAGATGATGAGTAAGAAAACTTGTTACAAAAAAGAAATAAATGAGATCTTTGCAAGGCAGGCAGCAGAGCTAGGGTGAAAAGGCAGCCCAGCAGGGGTCAGGACCCATGAGCAGAGCATCCAAGCAAGGCAGTGGCCCTGTGCAGTTAGGAGATCAGCTAAATGCAGAAGATGGAGCAAGTAAAGAAATATACTGAGATTATTTTATCACCAAGAAGAGCCATATAAATGGAAAAAGAGAAAAAACTAGAATAAATCCTCTGGTGTTGGATTAGGATTAGGGGTATTCATTACCAATACACAGAGATATAAAAACAAATGTCACTGTAAATGTGCATATGAATGTATACATATGTGCATTGCACATACATAAATATATTACCTAGGCATCCCACTCAGGGGGCTGGAAATGATAACACCCCAATATCAATAAGCACACTGGGGACCCAGATGTTGGCTCCTAAATACCATTTTCCACTCAGAGGAACTAGCTCTCCCTAGAAAAATGGCTAATTCCAGGGTTGGAGCAGGAAAGCAAGAGTGTGGAAAATTATGTTGTGCCAGAAAGTGAGGAAGTGCTCAATGATGGGGACCTGTCAAAGTATATTTCTTTTGTGTGGTTTTCTGCACCTATGTAAAGAAAACAGTTAAAAACAAGTAGGAAAATAAAGACAGACATGAGAGTTCTACAGATATCTCAGCTGAGAGTTCTGTGCTGAAGAACCAATAGGTCAGACCCTACTCATTCAGAAACAAATTAGAGGGGAAAAAATATTCTTTTTGATATTTTCTATTCTAAAACTCTAAATTGGGATTCCAAATGAAAAATGTTCAAGTACATTAGCTGAACACGTGAATACTGTTCTGCCATAGCAATGGGACACAGGCTTATCAAGAATGGCAACTTCCAATTGATTAGTAAGATGAGTAAAATTAATTTTAACTTAAAAACCATTTAAAATTTTTGATTATGTTGCTAAATGTCCTCAAAAGTCTTGCTAAAAAATTTTTTTAAAGGTTCATTGAGTTATATAGGTTAATGCTCAAAGATCTCACTATGGTAAAAAGATGACCAATTCCATCTATGTATTTTAAAGAAAATTCATTTATGTAGCTTCCTTGAAAGTTTTATAAATAAAGCACAATGAATTTTACATTATTTATCAGATGCAGAACTCAGAAACTTGTACCTTTATGGGGGATGGAGGTCTACCCAAAAGGATGAGTTCTGGGCTATATCAGTTTGCAAGGGCTAATGTAACAAAACACCACAAATTGGGTGGTTGGAACAGCAAAAATTTATTGTCTCACAGTTCTGGAAGCTAGAAGTCTGAGACTAAGGTGTCAGCAGGGACATGCTCTCTCTGTAGACCCTAGAGAAGGATCTGCTCCAGATCTCTCTCCAAGCTTCTGGTAGTTCCTTGGCTTGTGGCACCAGAACTCGACTCTTCACATAGCATTCTCCCTGAGTGCATGTGTGTTCAAATTTCCCCCTTTATATATATGACACCAGTTATATTAGATTAAGAGGCCACCTTACTCCCATATGACCTCATATTAGCTAATTATATCTGTAGTGACCCTATTTCCAAATAAGGTCACATTTGGAATGGGGTTAGGACTTTAACATATGAATTTTGGAGGAACATAATTCAAACAATAACATGGACCTTTAAAAGACACCAAGCAAGAATGAATCAGAAACCACCGCAATGTGACTCTCTTTCTGGAAGGATGCTGCACTCATGCTAGCTCCAGATGCATGACTAGATTTCCCCATTATGGGAAGCAAGTCAAGGGACAGGGCAGGGCCAGGGCCATGGCTGGTAGGAAATTAAGCACTTTAAAAAGAAGCCAGCCCCTAGGCAAAATTCTTTATATGCTAAATCATCTAACTGCTACTATTTGAAACAAGTACGGCCCACTTCTTCCTCTTATGTCTGTTCATCAGAGTCTTAATCTTCATTCAACCTACTGCCTTAAACACTTCATGTGGACAAGCGACACTTTTGGAGAACATGTGCCTGCTTTTCCTAAATCTTGTGGCTCAAGTCCCTCCAACACCAGTTACTTTTTCTTTTTTTAATAGAAATATATTGATTATACATATTTGTGAGGTACACAGTTATATTTCAATACATGTATGATGATCAGAGCAGGGTAATTAGCATTTTCATCTTTGCAAAACTTAATGATTTCTTTGTGATATGGACATTTAATCTCCTCTCTAGTTGCCTTTAATCTTGGATTTGCCAGTGGATTCTCAAACCCTATATCCAGGTACATCACCAACTCTGCTTTGGCTTCACACATTACCAGTGAGAGTGAAATTGATTTAATCTCTTGGTCGAATGTCCAAAATGGTAGCCCGCCAGTCTCGTGTGGCTAATTGAGCACTTAGAGTATGGTTCAGTTCAACTAAGAAACAGACTTTCTCATTTTATTTCATTTTACTTAATTTAATGGAAATTGAAAAACTGAAGCAGTGTAAAATGTTTTTCTGTTAAACAATTTTATTGTTTTGGTAGAATAATACTAACTTGAGATGTGTTGTAGGTGTAAAATACACACCAGATTTCAAAGACTTAGGAAAAAAAGAATGTAACATAACATTTTAATACTGGTTACACATTTAAGTGATAATATTTTGGATATATTGGCTAAAATAAAATAAATTATTAAAATTAATTTCATCTGTTTCTTTTTTAACATGGCTACTAGAAAATTTAAAATCACATGTGGCTCACATCTTTCACTCT